CATTCTTCAAGCTAAGATTAACATGCTGACGCCTTGAAAGATTTGCTTTCCAAACAGATGGAGGATGAATGATATGAGGGGATACTCTGACACATTGGGAAAAATACAGGACAAGTTGTGTGATGCCTTTGTTGTAAATGAAGGAGAGGGAAACAGGGTATTTTGAGGAAAAGAGAGAGATGTAAACAGATCCCTAGCATGAGCAGAGCTCACATTACAGAAGGTGTGGACTATGTGATGACCTGGTAGCTTATAGTAATGTTGACTTTAAGTTGTATTGACAGTCATTCCAGGAGCTTTGTTTCTCCCATTGGTGCTGTACTTAACCCCCTGCTCTGCAGCTTCCTCCTGTTTGTGAGTAATGACTGGTAATACTAAATACCAGCTTTAACAACCAGACTGTAGTGTAATCTGATGATTTCACAGTTAAGGAATTTGTGCTTCTATTTTCATGGTTTGATAGGACTCCCTGATGATTCCTGGCACAAGCAGCGTTGTGGGCCAGTAGCTCGTTATCAGTAGTAATACTTGGCACCTGTGACTTTAATGTTAGGAGTGCTTAATTTAGATTTTGGAAGGTGTTTTTGTAACACATACTCCCTACGCAGCATGCGTGTGTATGTGTATGTCTGTATGGATGGATGGATGAGTAATGCAAAGTAATTGGTTCACCTGAACTGTATCCTAACATTCTTCTGTGTTCTTTTTATAAAGGAAAGGGTATTGTGCCAACTAATGTCACCCGCAGGCCAAGCTTCGAAGGATCAAACGAATCTTTTCCGTCGTACCATCAGATCAGTAATGCAGCCTATGAAGGGACAAGCTTTGGAGCAGAAGGTGCAAATATGCTTACTGAAGTTCCAAGGCCATACATGGACTATTTAATCTCTACTTCCCAGTCTACAGCTATGAATGCTCCTGTGCAGCGACCCTCTGGAGTAGGCACTCACAGCGCACCCACAAGCCATCAGCAGAAAACGTACCCTGCAAATATTGAGTCTTCTGTGATTAATTATCCAGTGGCTAATCACAGCACTCAAGCTTTGCAGCTGCAGGCATCCCATGGGTCCAACAGCCAACATTACAGTAGGCAGCACATGATGGTGCAGGGGGAACCCATGGGGTATGGTATTCAGCGGAGTCCATCCTTCCAAAACAAGATGCAGCAGGAGGGAGGCTACACCAATCTTCCAAATAAAGGAGCAGTTGTTCAGAACAATTCTGGTCATGTGTTTCAGCAGGCACCCACGAGCCTGTATGTATCACATTCTCATCACAAACAGACAAGTCCTTCTTCTCACCAAATGCATGTGATGTCTAGAGGTCCAGCCTTTGCTAATGATTTTTCAGACAGTCCACCGCAAAATCTATTAACTCCGTCTAGGAATAGCCTAAACATGGACCTCTATGACATGAATAACCCTCAAGTTCAGCAGTGGCAGGCAGCAACACCGTCACGCCGAGATTCTTTACAAAATCCAGGAATTGAAACATCTCCACGGCAACACATATCCTTCAGACCTGATGCCACAGTGCCGAGCAGAACGAACTCCTTCAACAACCACCAGCAACAGCCCCAAGTGACAGTGTCTATAAGACAGGTTCCTCCAGGAAAAGCTGATCCTTCGATTACATCTCCAAATACGATCACAGCAGTCACATCTGCTCATATTCTCCAGCCGGTGAAGAGCATGCGAGTAGTGAGACCTGAGCCTCAGACTGCAGTGGGACCTTCCCATCCTGGCTGGTTACCTGCGCAGGGGCCGACCGTGGATGGCTTGGAGATCATTGAGCAGCACGGGCCACCTGTTGGAGCAGCTAGCACCTACCAATTGGATGTGGATTATGGTAACCAGGAACTGCGGTGTCCCCCACCACCGTATCCCAAGCATTTGTTACTTCCCGGTAGCTCTGAGCAGTTTGATATCAACTGCTTATGCATGGGCGTAGAGCAGACCCTCCGTGTAGTCCCCAATTCAACATGCAATAAGGTTGAGGAGAACAGTGAGCGAAATGATAAAAGCAGCAAGAACACTAAAGCTGAAAAACCAAGCAAGGATAAAAAGCAGATTCAGACGTCTCCGGTGCCTGTGCGAAAAAATGGCAAAGATGAGGAAAAACGAGAATCTCGAATAAAGAGCTATTCACCTTTTGCCTTCAAGTTCTACATGGAGCAACATGTAGAAAATGTCATAAAGACCTACCAGCAGAAAATTAACAGAAGATTACAATTGGAGCAAGAAATGGCTAAAGTAATTCTTGTTTTGTTATAGTAAAAACTAATGGGGTCAAATTGAGTATTTTTAATCAGTCAAAAAATTTACAAAGGCAGATTCCACTGTAAGTAGTAGGTAGCTAACACCTCCCCATACCAGACTATTTCACTTAGAAGCATAGGTACAGGTCTAGGAGGCTGTCTGAAAACCCTGAGATGTGAAATAATATATCTGGATGCCAGAAAAGTAAAATGAAGCAAAACCCCCCGTAGTAGGAAGGTATGAGGTTTGCTTAGGCAAGAGCTGAGAAGCCAGGTTTGAGGCTGTGACAACTCTGGCAATGCTTTGGCAGCTCTTGCAAAACTGTAAAAGGTTTTCTCTTTGCTCCAGTTCTTCCTCTCTGTTTCATGACAGCCACACAGTCACCAAAGCCATGGTTCAGCCTTGGTTCAACATATTCCCTGTGCTGTGTTTTCAGATGAATATCTAATACTTGACTGGAAGTTGTCTGTTGAACACGTGTAAGTAATAACATCATGGAAGTGATCTTATCTTGGCCAGCTTGAACTGATCGCGGGCCCCTTGCTGGGGCTTGTTCTGGAAGCAGGTGCAAGGGAGGTGCCCACGTGGAGTGAGAGCTGCTTTAATCCCTAATTGTAGCTCTCAAACTTAAGATGGTTCACTGATAGGGCTGCTCAAAACAAAGCTGCCAAGTCTCGATGGTTGCTGTGGCAATTTTGTTTTTAATTTTTAAATGTGGAAGAGGTTTTTTTCACAGGCATGACTAGTCTACTTCTGTATTTAAGGGTAAACTCTAAGGAAAGCTATTATTAACACATAATGGGTAATAATTAACTACCCTAGCACAGTCAATTTCCAGAGTCAATTAGTTTGATGCTCACATTGCTCCAGAAAGCTCAGCAGTTTGTTTGTTGAGGTTAAAATTAAGCAAATATGCTTCAATAAATCTCTTGAAAGGTTGGCATTTTAGTGACAGTTAACAGTTTGTCCTCACAACAGGTACAGATTGTATTGCATTGCTTAGATTTAGTGAATATTTTCCTGAGATTGAGGTAGGAAATGATCTCTAGAGAAGCAAAACAGCACTGCTTGCGTTAGTTCTTCTCTTCTGACTCTTCAGCTTTCCCTCACTTCATAACTCAGAGATAATTCAGCTATAAACAAAAACATCTCCTTCCCCTAGCAACTTCATCACTGGCCAGAATAATACACTGAGGAGATCTTGGCTATCTGAAGATCACATTATTCTAGAATTAACCAAGAACACAACACGCTAATTATTTTACCTTAAAACAATAAACAGTTCCTTTATTATGGATTTATGTACTTGCCTTGCATTTTAAAAACAGTATTACTTATTTTGATTTGGTTATTGCCTTTAGTCTGAAAATTCATCCTACCTGTTCTGCAAGTTTCTGCAGACCTCCTCCATCCTTTATTTCCTACAGATTTCATTTCTATTCCGTGGGGAGCTCACTGCATAGTCTGGCTGCCCACATTCATCTTTAAAGATGTAGACTACAAATCAATCTAGGGAGCAGCCCTGTGGGTGTATGCTTGGGTCTCCAGCCTGCAAATCAGTCACCTTCAACTCGTTCCACCTTCCTCCCCATTGCCCCTTCCCACTAGGCACAAACCTTCCTCTTAAAGTGCTTCAGTTGATGCCAGTTAACTCAGGGGTTTGGAAATGGGGTATGCAAAAAGAAGGGGGTGTGCTGCAGAAGATGAGTTGTCAGAGGACCGTGGGGCCGCTGGTGGCGGCCACCAGTGGCCCTCGGGAGAGGGACAGGCTCCAAAGCTGTCAGAGTGCAGCGTGCAAGCTCTGTCTTGAGGGTGGGGAAAGTCTGGTTGGATGCTGCTGCTTCTCCATGCCTCAGGTCTCTTCCTGCACCCGTGTGAACTTGCAGTTACTTGGAGCTTCTCTGGGGACAGGAGGTGGCTGGACAAACCAGCTGTTTTATAGCTTAGGTGCAGAGGGGAAAGAATATATTTAGAGGGGAAATAGCACCAGTGTCCGGGCTGACGTGACTGTGGGGAGGCCATGGCTGAGGGTTACATGCATGTATTTTGAGAGGGAAACGGGAGAAGTGTATAGAACAGATCATCAGGAGATGTAGAGAGCTTGAGAGTGCAGGCTGTGTATTGGCAGAGGAAGAAAGAGAGTTTCTAAAGAAGGTTCCCAAGGCCCTTGGCAATGCGTAGGTCAAAACCAGCTTCTTAATCACAACAGAAAAACCAGCAGTCAAACTGCACTCGAGGTAGGAATTGTTCATGTGAGTTGCCCTGGGTGACCGTTCATGAACTAAGTGAAGTGCTGTGTCTAGGTTTAAGTTTCAGTTTAGGTTAAGCTGTGCTGCAGTGTACAAACAGATAGTGGAGTGCAGTGGCAAAGGGCACATTTGAAAGGTGTAACCCAAATCTCGTGGTCAAGTTTGCTGTGTTATATTTGCCTCTCTGACAGTATTGCCCTGTGCCTCTGTTCAGTCAAATGAGAAAGGCAGAACACTCTCAGATATGGCAAATCCGGGTAACAAGTTAAAGCACAGTGCATTTGCTGGTATTTCAGAAATACCTCGACAGACAGACAAGAGAGTATGGTTTTTGGTTAAATTTTCTGAGAAATGCATTTTGGGAATGCTCGTTTATTGTTCTCTTGCTATGAATGTAACAGTACTAGCTCTTGTGGTTTGCTTTCCTTTGTAAAGGCTGGCCTTTGTGAAGCAGAACAGGAGCAAATGAGGAAAATTCTCTACCAGAAGGAGTCCAACTACAACAGACTTAAAAGGGCCAAAATGGACAAATCGATGTTTGTGAAAATCAAGACTCTGGGTATTGGCGCATTTGGAGAAGTCTGCCTGGCCTGCAAAGTGGATACCCACGCCCTGTACGCCATGAAGACTCTGCGGAAAAAGGATGTGTTAAACCGGAACCAGGTGGCCCACGTCAAAGCAGAGAGGGACATTCTTGCTGAGGCAGACAACGAATGGGTGGTTAAACTCTACTATTCCTTCCAAGATAAAGAGAACTTGTACTTCGTGATGGACTACATCCCAGGGGGGGATATGATGAGTCTGCTGATTCGGATGGAGGTCTTTCCAGAGCGTCTGGCTAGATTTTATATTGCAGAGCTCACTTTGGCTATAGAGAGTGTGCACAAAATGGGATTTATTCATCGAGACATCAAGCCTGACAACATTCTGATAGACCTGGATGGGCATATCAAACTGACTGACTTTGGACTGTGTACTGGATTCAGGTGGACTCATAATTCAAAATACTATCAGAAAGGTAACGTTCTTTGGCTTTACTTGTGACAGTATTGCATTTTTTATTTTGAAACAAACAGGCAGCTCTTGGCAGAAGTGCCAGCTCGGAAAACAGAGGTGTGTACTTTGACAAAGCGTCAATGACAATCCTGTGCATTGATGTCTCACCAACTCATTCAATCAGTCTGTTTCCAGTCCTTTGTTTCCAGGACTGTTTAAATCCCTATCAGTAATCTGGCTCACCACTACAGTAGCAGCAGTTTTTCAGTTTAGGCTTGTTTGGAGGGTCTTTTTTGATGGTGAAATAATTTAATCACAAATTTAAAGTAGTCCACGCACCTCCTGTGTGTGCCATTGAGTATTGGTGTCTGTTGGCAAAAAGGTCATAAACAATTGGTATAGCTGATCTAAATATATCTCATTGTTCTGTATCTCCCATATGGGAATGTGCTTCCTTGTGCTGAGGCAGACATTTTGCTGGTTATGGAAAACCTATTGTGAAGGAGAGGGCAGAAGGAAGTGCCTTGAGTTTGAAGTTTAAATGCTGTTCTTCAGTGAGAGTAGAAGATGACACAACTAGATCTGTATAATTTCTCTTTGTGTGTTGTGTTTTATGACCATGAATGTAAACTTTCTCTCCCATCTGAAAGGGAGCCATATCAGACAAGACAGCATGGAGCCCAGTGACCTTTGGGATGATGTGTCCAATTGCAGATGTGGAGACAGGCTGAAGACATTGGAACAAAGAGCTAAGAAGCAGCATCAGAGATGTCTAGCCCACTCGTTAGTTGGAACTCCTAATTATATTGCTCCTGAAGTCCTGCTTCGTAAAGGTAGGCAACCTGTATTTTTCTCCTGTTTAAGTAACCATCAATGTTTTGAAATACTTTTTAATTTTTACCTTAAATAAGCTTGCTGCTTTGGAAGATTGTTGTTCTGAGGGCCACAAATACTTAGCTCACATTAATGAGAACAGGTACCTCTACATGCTCCACTGTTTAGTATCACATTGCTGACATTAAGAGTGGCCATAGTTTGTGTGTCTCTGCATATCTGTACTCTGAAGCCTTTAAATGAGACTGCTAATAAATGTGTCAGATTATGCTGGCAGTGATATTTTTCAAATATGAAGCAGATTATCTGTACTTGTGTACATAGTACAACTATGGCTGCTAGCAAGTTTACATGGACCAGTGAGTAGCCGGCTGAGGGTTCTGAATCACTGATTCAGATGGGTCACTTAAATATGGATGGTGTGAAATTGTGGCAACATCTCCTCCAGCTTCCCAGCCAGAATCTTGGGGAAACCCAGCAAAAAGTTTTCAAAAATTTACACTGGACATTGCATTCAAAAGCTCAGCTTGAGGAGTTTTGACGGTACTTGGTGGCTATCCATGAATGGACATGGTCACTGTAGTAGGGAGATTAGATGTCCGAAGTTGTCTGCAAGCCAGATCCTAAGCCTGATCTTTCTCAAATTGAGAGATTTCACATTGGACCCTACATCATCCAGTGACAAACACTGATTTCGATGGAGATTTGTAAGTCCTCCGTTCCTTTTTGGAGATCTCAAATATATACCTTATTTGTCATGTCACAGCAATTAAGTGGATGAAATTGTTCCTCAGCTTAGAACTTGCTCAAAAAGTCATCTGTGGCTTTCTTCCGTCTCTAGAGCCAGGCTGTGTCTTCCAGCAGCTTTTCAAACTTGTGGTACTCCACTGAGCCTTGGGGGAGACATCAGTCACTAAACCTTTTCTTTATTCTGAGGCCCAGTCTGTGCTGTGTAGTGATGTAGTCATGGGGCAGGGCATGAAGAAAAAACGTCATTCTTTCTGATTACATGATTCCACCACTCACTTCTGTCGAGAATTAAATTTATTCAGAAAGATTTCCAGACAACAGGATCCAATCTTTTACTGACAGCAGCAGAATTTAGGTCAGCTAGAAGTGACCTTATGATGAAGGTGGGTTTGGAGCCCTTTGTTTTTCAGTCACAGATTGTTTGCAAAATGACAGAAATCTGTGCTGTGTGTTTTGATACCTAATTGCAAGTGGCTCTATACACATTCTCCTTGGTTAATGAAGGACAACCTCTTTACTTGCCTTTCAGGATACACTCAGCTCTGTGACTGGTGGAGCGTTGGTGTGATCCTCTTTGAGATGTTAGTGGGACAGCCTCCTTTTCTGGCTCCTACACCCACAGAAACCCAACTGAAGGTAAGTTGAAGCGAAAGTCCAATCTGTGGTAGCAAAATGTTAACCTTTTCCCTTCCCTTCTCCTCCAGGCACAGACCTATCCCCTCTTGTTTTACTAGAGAAAGGAGCAGTGATTACAAAACACTGATTTTCAGTAGTTCTATGCAGGGACAAATCCATTCCCAATCAATGAAGATACTGAGTATCAGACTAGAATGGACTTGTCCAACTGCAGGTAGTTATTAGTTTTAGGAGCCTTAGCACAACTCTGATGTCTTAAGCTCAAGTTTATCCATCTAAATTCCTTAGAGTGCCTAGCAGATTTCAGTAAGCTGATACAGCAGTGGTAATTACTGCTGGCAGTGTCAGTGTTTCTAAGTCAAGCAGTAAGTAGCTTTTTATTAGAAAGGATGTATCTCATGACCATTTTTCTTTGTTTACATTTTGAGATGAAATGAAGTAATCCCTTGAAGTCATTCCATAAAGTCATGTGTAAACTGAGTATGTTCTCAACTAGGACTATGGTAGCATTCAGGAAGCCATTAGGAATTTGCCTTTAAAAAAAACCCGGCAGATAAAAGAAGCAATTCTATCTGACAGTGTTTTTTGATCCATTAACAGCCAATGCAATCTAATCATTGGGTTCTTGAACCTCTAAAATAACTATAGGCTGTGAGCTGACTAGTTATGTGTATAATTCTGCGCAGTTAATGTTGTCAGTCAGAAGGTTTCTGTTGCCAGAATTAGAGGTTGTTTAATACCTTTCTTACCTCCAGGTGATAAATTGGGAAAGCACCCTGCACATTCCCTCCCAGATCAAGCTAAGCCCTGAGGCGACGGATCTCATCACAAAGCTCTGCTGTGCCGCTGAGGACAGGCTTGGAAGAAACGGAGCAGATGACATTAAGGCCCATCCTTTCTTCCACTCTATGGACTTCTCTACTGATATCCGTAGGCAGCCAGCTCCCTATGTTCCAAAGATCAGCCATCCCATGGACACTTCCAATTTTGATCCAGTTGAAGAAGAAAGTCCCTGGAATGACGCTAGCGGTGACAGCACCAGGACATGGGACCCGCTAGCCTCTTCCAACAGCAAGCACACGGAACATGCTTTTTACGAGTTCACTTTTCGGAGATTCTTTGATGACAACGGGTATCCCTTCAGGTATCCCAAACCTTCTGGCATGGAAGTTGGCCAGTCTGAGAAATCTGATGTCGAAGACAAAGGTGTGGTGGATCAGACTGGAGCCTGTCAGCCTGTGTATGTGTAAATTATTGTATAGAGTACTCCAGATGAGACTGATCTCAAATCCAGTAGGGCCTTTACCTGATCCTTTGGGAGCTGATCCTGCAGCGCTTGTCTGGGTGTAACTTCAGCTGAGACTGGAGTCGGCCTGGGGAGTCAGAACTTGCAGGGCCAGGTCCTAAACATGGCACTCTTGGAAGTTCAGGTCAGTTTTACTGTAAATAACTTTGTTGATAATGACACTTGAAATCCTGGTCTTCACCAAAATCTGCAAGGCCAGCAGTCTACCATTTTTAGGCCTATTTTTATTTGAGGTCAGCATCGCCCTACTCAGATTAACTTTTACAGACTTCTGCAACTGTCAGCGTTATTTTTTAAATGAATAAAGAGCACTTATATTTTGTTTATAGCAGGGGTTTTTTTCCTACTAAATTATAAGGATTAACTTTGACAAATCATGCTGCTGTTCTTCTTTTCTACATTTTTATTTTATCCATAGCACTTATTTCACATTTAGGAAGATGCATAAAGCTGAAGAACATGTGATGAAAGGTCTCTGTGCAATAATGTAAGAAAGAAAAAAAAGGAAGAAAAATGAAAAAAAAAAAGGAAACTGCTCTCTAATTGTCTAAAATTACTGATGCCATTGTATTCGCATCGTGATTTTTGTTTATTATGTGTATTTTCCACATTTCAAAATTGTGACATAACCTTAAAGCTGCTTTATTTCCTTCTGCTTATTGGAGTGTAATAGAAAGTGTGAGCAAGTGACAATTCAGGTGTGATTTCATTGTCTAGTGTGTGAAGAATGTTGCATGAGCAGTGTTTTTCTATTTGAAATGGCCTTTTCTTGCCATTCACGGGCAGGTCCTGTGGATCCATTTTTACTAAGGGTCTAAAATTAGACCATTTTAAACCGTGTGTTGATAATGTATTGTGTGGGTGGTTTCCTCTTATGATTGTATCCAATATTAATTTTGTAAAACAGATTGCAGAGGTTATAACTGAACAGTGATTTTGTGGTCTGACATATTAGATCATTTTAGTAAACACGTATCATCGGCACACACGTTTTCCCACAAAGGATCGATCGCAAGACCGCTATTACAAAGCTGATTTGTGGCACCAGTCTAGGTCGGTCTTATTCACGTAGCACACAGCACAGTGCCCATGGTTTAATCCTAGCAGTGATGCAGAGCACCAGGACTAACATAGAATCACAGAGTGATTTGGGTTGGAAGAGACCTCAAAGCTCATCCAGTCCAACCCCTGCCATGGGCAGGGACACCTCCCACCAGCCCAGGCTGCTCAAAGCCCCATCCAGCCTGGCCTTGAACACTGCCAGGGAGGGGGCATCCAGGTGTAGCTCAACGTGTCCAGACCAGAACGTCCAATGCTGTGCTCCCATCACACATCGAGATCTTGAGTGCGATGAGGCTGATGTTGAGTGTGTGCAGCTCCACGGACATCTGTGGCACCTGGAGGTACGTGGCTTTTCCAGACATCAGATCCCTACAGGCCAATGACTGTGTACCCGTTTAGGATCCTCATGTTTTAGGCACTGACATCTGAAAACATTGGCATTGGTCATAGGTCATTCTGTCCTGTTGTCTATAGGTAAAAATGTTGCTGTGATGGAGCACAATAGTCCTACATTTCTGTCAAATTATAGGCATACTTTGAAATATCAGTTCTTAACTATGTTAAAATATGCGTTTTTCTTATATGTATAAGTGAGAATTATTCAAGGTGATATCAGAATACTAAAGATAATTAAGCCATACATATTTGCATATATATTATATATAACTAAATAAGTAAACACACGCAAAAATCCTTAATTCAGATTAGTGTAACAGTCCTATTTAAAGTGATTGACGTAATAACATTTGAGGAAAACACTCCTTTAATGTGTTTTTGCTTTATTTTATTTTTAAATCTGGAGCTTCATTATTTTTTCCGTATGTTATTCCACGTATTATTCCTTAATGTTTTAGCATATCCTATCCTATCCATTGTTTAGATATCTAAGCAACACCATATAAATTCATCAGCCTAAACTAAACAAAAATGATTGTGTATTTGTTTACATTTGTATGAAAGGAATGTTCTGAGGTATGCAGTGCTTGTGTTGTGACAGTTCATGTAAGATTCAGTATTACTGCTTTTTTATATAGTAATGCCATTTTTTGTTATTTACATCTATCTGACATTCTTTCATGTGGTAGGTTCTTTCTCAGGAACTCAATTTAACTGTTATTTATTGATATATCATTGCCTTTGAAAGCTTCTACTGGCACAATTTATTAAAAACGAGAATCAAAATCTAAAATGCGTTATGTGTTTAATTGGATTGGATTAATTGGATTGGTTTTTGTAGTGTTAGTGATGGGTTTGAGTTACAAACATGAGATCCAAACCTCACCTCCTGTAGCATTTGATGTCGGATCTCTGGGTACCTGAAGACAATTTCTTCAGTCCTCACAGCCCTTGAGAAGAAGGGGCAGGATTCACAGGAAAAACTTCTTTTGGTGTCACCAGGTCAGTAGGTGGCATAAAATTCAACAAAATTAATCTGCAAATGCACGATCTTTGCAGCTATGCAAAACAAGAGAACCTGGCCCAGGAGGAAACAGGTGCTTCCACAACCAAGAAGTTCCTCACTTCAAATCTATGCTGCAGGGAACCGAAGCCAACTCCCATTTCACCTAAGAAGAGCTCATTTGAAAAACAGATCTCTCCAGCTTATCAGGTGCTGTCTCTGGAGGCTCATCCTTTGCAGACATTTCAGGGGTAAACAGAAAGTTGGAGTAAATTTTATGAAATCTGGACAAGTAAACAATAGGCCATATATTGGGATTGACAGTTCTGCTGAACTTCCTGCAAAAAGCATCTAATACCTTCTTTTAAGAAGTTCTATCAACTCAATGTTTGTTTAAAAAAAAATCTTCCTTTAAAAAAACAAATAACAAAAAAACCCCTTAGATGTATTTATTCCTGACTGAAAGTAAAGAGTTTATGACTTCTGAAGTAGTGCTCTTGGTTAAGGCCACAGGTGGCATTGGAGATGGCCAAGGTTGAACCTGCTGCTGGTCTTGGCAAGATAGGAATTTAATTCCTGGGTTTCAGCAAAGACACGAATGCGCTGGAACACCACTTACTGTGTGTGCATAAGTCTAAATAATCACCTCCAAAAATCTATGTAATTGCTGCTTCCAGAGTGGAAACTGTATAATGCAAGGGTGCAATGGCCCAGGAACAGCAAGAGCCCCTGCCGCCATTCACACCTGTACTCCAGTGGGGCCAGATCTGCCAAGAAGCAGCAACAGTTCATGATAAGCAAGTGATTCCTGGTTGGATGCAAAAGGACGAGCAGTGCAAGTTATAACCACATACCCAGCTTGGATACCATGGAAGTCAAATGGGAGAGAAGCATTTGACTTTTAAATGGAAACTCAAGGCTGAGGTTAACTGTGCGGGAAGCAGGGTGATAGCCCGGAACCTGATGGAAAATCACTCTCATAAAATTCTTTTCCCTGTGATTTTTTGAGGCATGAAACAGCTGCGTTAAAAGCTTTCCTAGAGAAACTGTAGTGAGAAAAGGGGAATTCAGAATGTATAGTTTGGTTCTATCCCCAAGTGCGGAAACATTGGCAGAAAATGGCAACTGTTACTAAAATTATTATTGGAATTAAAAATATTAAATATTTCCCACAGGAAATCATCTCAGGAATAGATAATGTAAAAATAGCAACTGTTAACACACACACACACAGAAAAGTGTAAAAATGTTTTTCCTGGCAAAGCAATCTGCTGCAGCAAGGACACGGAAGCTGTGCCTTCCTCTGGTTTCTGTTCTGAGCAGTGAATGAGCAGTGAGTGGCACTGGGTGAAAACAGAGTCCTGGGCTCGTTCTTACCAAAATAAACCGAGGATCTGATCTGTGAAGCCATGGCCACCTTCTGCACATGCAGCAGTCGCTCCAAGACAGAAGAAAGAGGAGCCCAGTGACATGGACAATTTAAATGCAAATGGGCTGAGGAATGCACTGATTTGTCCGCTCTGGTGGTTTGGATGGTGCCTTTACTCCAGTTTGGCAAGATGATAAATACCTGTGCCTGCATCTGTCAGTTTTTAGATAGTGAAGAAAATGGGGCTTCACGACTCAGACCTTGGGCAATATTAAGTATTTATTGAACTTTAGCGGGGCTCAAAAAGTAGCACGGTGTAAAGCACACCTCATCTCCTGGTCTGGGTCATGAGAGCCCCATGGCCCAGGAACATGCCCTTGCCCCCCTTGGCTGCTGGGTCATGCTGTGCAGGGAAGGAAGAGACTGGCTTGGTGCTGGCTCCACGCTGCCTTCAGCCCTGGGCTGCTTTTAGGGAGAGCAGAGGGTGGCAGCTCAGGGTGCTGCTGGGAACAGCTTTTCTTTAGTAATAGCTTTTCTTTTTTTCCTACTTTCATGCTGTTGGACAGCTATGGGTGATGTTTTCTTCCTTCCTTTTTTCAGGAAAAACAGTTGGCTGCTTGACTCTGCTCCTTTCCAAAGGCAGCACTGATGATGGCTTTCTGTGGCCGGAGGGGAAATTGGCCTAGTCTGAAAATTAAGTCCCCACTCCTGAGGGCAGTATCTCAGCCACTTCTTGTGATACCCTCATGCTCTGAGCAGTTACTGTGTCTTTTTGATAATTTCCATAGCATTGGTCATTCTTGGCCATAACAGCACGAGTAAGCTCAGCTCAGTGATTGCCTGTGGCTTTCATTGATCTGATGGCAATTTCAGAGTAGCTAATTTCAGTAAAAAGATACCTGATTGTGCTGAGTAATACAACCATCAGAAAGGAAGGAAAGGAGCACACACTTACTTTTCATGTGTTTAACTTTTCTACTTGGACCTCATCACAAGGTCAAATGCTCATCAGCACACTCTTGTGAGAGGCTCAGTTGTCCAATACCTTACAGGGGTGTTCACCAGCTATTCACAGTGTTTGGTTTTAACTCAACACTGGGGGACTGGTAAGAGG